GCCCAACACACAGATATCGCTTTTCCACGAATGGTGAAGCAAAAAAAAAGCAAAATATTATTTTCCGTATTTCAAAAGGCAAAGAGGGGTAGTGCAGAGAGTGTGTATACTATTATTACTACTCTCTTTATTGCGGCCTGAGTGCGGAGCCCCTTTGGGAGCGCAGTTGTATATCATTCCCCCTCCGCACTTTGTTTGCGCCCGACCGCTGCCGCTGCGGCCCAAGCAGGCGGTATCACCACTGCGGCGATGGTCACCGCCAGAAGCACAAAGCCACTGAAGCCAATAGCCAAAGCAGCCGCACGCACTGACGTCGCTTCCGACTTGTCGCGCCACCTCCAGTTTCTTTTGGACGCTGCTGCTGTTGTCCAATCCCGTCAGCGTCGAATTGGGCGCAGAAGTTTTGCGAGTCGCAGTAGATCCCGCCGTGTCCGAGCCGCTTCCTTTTGGAGCAGCAGCTGTCACGGTGTTGGGCCCACCCCCCGCCTCCCTTCGATCTTTTTCATCCTTACGGCCCTTCCCTTCCGCATCCTTCAAAACGCTCGGAATGACGAGGCTGCTGCCGTTGGCGGCGATGGTGCACACTTCGGTGTACTTCGGGCACTTGAGCTTCCCGCCCTGCAGATGACCGTTTGGCACAACCTCAATTGCACTTCCCTCGGGACACGGCACAAACGTATTGGCGCCGAGGTGCTTCACCTTCACTGCGCCGCCCTCACACTTCACCTCTGCGCACACGCCCTCGATTTTGTTCTCACCGCTGCCGCCGCCATTCTTCACCTGCAGTGTTTCCGCGTCCAGGCACCACGAGCCACTGCCAGTCAGCGATCCAGGGAGATTTCTCACACTTGCGTCCGTGCACCGGTTGTCCTTTCTCGTTGTAAAGAGGTCCTCAAAGTGCGTCGAAACAACAGGGCACTTGTCATTCCCAAGCTGAATCCACATAAAATCAAGGATCTCTGCGGTGCACGTCCCGACGTGACGGCGGTCCGAGGAGCAGCGAAGCGTCGTCTTGTCGGTGCTGTTGCAGAACATGTGAGGATACCTTTTGGCGAGGTCGTGTGTGTCCTTGCACTTCTTCATCAGAAAGTCGCAGCCACTGTTGCTGCCCCACGCCATCGGCTCCGCCATGCTCCAGTTCACGCTGTAGTAGCCCAGGTCGGCAAACACCGCCAGCGTCAGTGCCGTGTAGTAGCCGGCGCCGACTGTGGGGGCCATCAGTTCGTCACGGGCACTGCGCTTCGTCCAGCGAAACACCTTATATTGCCCCTCAACATCGTCATTATCCAGCTCCATGCCCTTCAGAGAGCTGCAGTTGAAGTGCGCTATTGCCCTCGCTTTAACATTATCCCCCGTCACCATCTTACGCCGCATTCCACGCTCATCCTGCTCTGACGTTATGCTCTTAGACTCCATACTCTCTTTGTTGAACCCAAGAGCATGCGCCATTTCGTGTGCAGCGACGCGGACGCTCCATGCCATGTCGGTCATGTACTTCGGATTGAAGTTCATGGCGCCAACAGAAGGACGAGAGTCACTCGACCTGAGACATGTGGCCGCCCATGCCGGAATATCGTCGCTGAATGGCCCGGCAGCTGCGTAGATGACCATGTCGGCATCACGCACACCATTAGTCTTGTGCTCAGCTGGAATTGTAAAGTACTCGCATAGTCCTCCGGGACCTTCTCCCATAACTACTCCCTCAGCCATCGGCTTGACAAGGAGTCGCTCCGCGTGCAGCTTGACGGCCTCGGGAATAATCGTCTTCTCGTACAATTTCTTCTTTTCTTCCGACAGTATGTGTTCAGTTACGCAAGTTCTATTATGCCCCAAGTAGTCTGGGCACCGATCCCCCCGCTTTTCGCAGTACCTCCCACTCCCCGGAATAACATTCTTCAGATCCTCCGTGAACACTTTGATGCGGATGGGCTTCCAGTCACTGTTGTCCTCTTTTGTGGCGACGGTGTACGTCTGCATCGCGCCCTGCCCCCTGCGCGGCACCTCACGCACCACCGCAGTCTCCGACGGCCCGCCGCTCCTCCGCACAATTTCCTCGAACGCAGAGCCCGGCGCAGCGGCGAGGCACCCACCGGCGCAACACATCGCCGCCGCCAATAGCAGCAGCAGCAGCGATGGAAGAAACGGCGTGGGCAGGCTTGACTGACGCATGTGACCTGAAAAAAGTATATTTATTGCTGCGGTTTGAGCAGCAGCAGCAGAATAAACACAAATCTTGTTCACCAACAAGACAGAAAAAAAAAAAGAATGAGGTTAAAGAACCAATCAACAAAAAGCCACAGCCAACACGCACAGTACACCACTACTAGACAGAAAAAAGAAGGCCACACACCCCTCCGAAAAGCTGTGTATGCTGTGAAGAACCATGGTGAGTAGGGAAACCGCCAGCACCACACCAGTTGCCGCGCACTTCCCAACGACAAACAAAAACGGGTTCATCTGCAGGCACGGCACGTACTTCCCGGCAAGTGGGATCAGCGTCCCCAGAAGCGACGCAACCCAAAGAATAAAAAAGCCCG